AGCGGCGGCGTGCCCGCCTTGCCCAGCACCCGCACCACGCTGCTGCCGCCCCGGTGGCCGAGCTGCTGCAGGCGGGCCGCCACCTCCGCCGCCGTGGTCTCCAGGGTGCAGAGCACCGGACGCAGGTAGCAGTTCATGTGGCGCTCATAGACGTGGACGCAGCCCCGCTGCAGGTCCCGCCGCACCCAGTCCCGCTCCGGGGGCTGCAGGGGCTGTAGCTGCCGGGGCGGCTTCAGCAGCAGCGCCTTCCTGTCCAAGCTGCGGGTGCCCAGCGAGGTGGCGGGGGCGGCGGCGGGCGAGGCGGCAGCGGAGAGGTGCCTCTTCAGCCTCCCGCGCCGCAGCAGCAGCGAGTTGGCGTTGCCGGCCCCGCCGGGGGCCGCAGGAGTCCCGCCGGCCGTCAGCGCCGCAGGGGGGGTCAAGCCTCCGGCCACCCCTCGCCTCCGTCGCGGGCCGCCAGCCCCTTTGCCGTCTAGCTGCCCGCCGCCCGACGGTTCCACGCCGGTCTCTGCCTCGCTCCTCCTGCCCGGGGAGCCGCTCTCCGGCACCCCCCGCCCGCTGCCCGCCGCCGCTGCCGCCGGGGCTTCTCTCGCTTGCTGCTGCGCGGGCTCCATGGCCCGCGGGGCCGGGGATGCCGCCGCCGCCGCCCTGCTGGGAACGCCGATCGGCGGCCCGGCGTCAAGTGGGGGGGTGAGCGGAGCGCGGCGCCGCGTCCCGTCCCGTGGCGGGGATGGAGGGGTCAGGTCGCGGCGGGGAGCATTCCGCCGGTGCCGGCTCAGCCCCGCTCCCCGGCTGTGGCGAGCGCCATTAGAGAGGCAGGCAGCAAGCGAGTGAGCGAGCCCGCCGCCGCGCCCGCCCGCGCCCCGCGCCTCATGAATATTAACCAGCCCCGCCTCGCCACTGACTAGGGCCGCCGGGAGAGCGAGGGAAGCTCGCGATGGTGACGACACCGCTCGCGCGGCGGGGAGGAGTCTGGCCGATAAACACAACGTGACCGGGCCTGGGCCTGGGGAATGGCGGGGTCGCGCAGGGGTTGATGGGGAATGTAGTCCTGAGGCGGCCACGCTCCCCCTCCACAGCTACCCGACTACAGCTCCCGGCAGTGCCGGCTCACGGCCCGCCGGGTAGGTCTGCCGCTGTAGGGGTGGTGGGAGCGTTTCGTTGAGGCGGAGGGTGTCTCGACGGGGCTGTCTCACGGGCTTCTGCCCTTTCATCCCCCACCGTGCCCTGCCTTAAGGCCGTGCAAGAGCCCGGAATATGCTGGAAGTCACCTCACTGACCCCGGGGAGTGTACTGTGACATTGCTCGTTACGGCGTGCAGCCGCACCCGGTTTAAAGTTATTGCGGGACTTCGTACTGTGCTGGCCGTTATATTCCTTAAATCTCGTCGGAGGGTTTTACACCCCCCGCTGGTCAAATGAAACCCTATGTGCGGCCTGGAGCGCTGAGGATGAGACCTGTGCGTGGTCACCCTCGATGGGCGCCTCGCTGGGAGCGTCGTGCTTGGCAGCAGCGCTCGCTGGCTAACGGCCACCTGGCAGCACACAGGAAATGGTTTTGCAGGGTCAGTGACCGTACCCATCCCACTCTTTCCAATCTGACGTGTTCACCCGCTGGCTGTCTCAGCACAGAACCGAGGCACTGAGCCGGGGAACCTTCTCATCCGGGGAGGGAGATGCTCTCTTCAGATCCAAGATGGAGAGAGGCATGGAAACCTGGGTGGGAAATACACACACACACACACACACACACACACATACGCACCGAGAAAGAGCTGCTTTGTGAGTGGACTCGCAGAGAAAGTTTTCTTGTATTCCAGGGACTAAAATTACTGTGACTACGTCTTGAAAATTGCTTAGAAGCAGCCATTAAATAGCAACTGTTTTGCCCCAAAGATGTGATTTTTAATTAATTTCTGAAAAGGGAAATTGCAATCGGATAAATTAAATTTAGCAATGCAAAATTAGCAGTGCAAAAAACGTGAGTTTTCATGCTGTAAGGACACCATGCTATGGCATTTATTCGGGAAAATCTCTTCTGCTCCTGGGGATGTTTCAGCTGAGTAAAGCTGGCTGGGTAGGGCTGTAACTGCTGAGATCTTTCCTTTATAATACATTTTGTAAAATCACAGTGAAACATCTTGGCAGATAATTCATCAGAAATGCTATAGACTGCAATAAAGTGGGAGTTCTGGGCAATTAACCAGTTACATCAGTGTCAGGGGTGATAAATCACGACTAAGAACCCTGAGATAAAACCTTAGTGAAGGATTATTTTTAGTCAGTGGGGGGTATGGGAGCATACATAAAATATATGAAACAAAAATAAGCCAGAACCATGATAAAACTAAAGTTTACCTCCTAAAACATTCCTCCATACGTCCATGTTACTGTCATCATACCCATACAAGCAAGTGAAACACATCACAGAAAACAGAGGTATTCCCCAAGGAGCTTGCAATGGAAGTATGTTACTACCTGTTAAAAGTTTCTATAACAACAAAGCTGATGTTTTACTTTTATATGGAAACAACCCACTTTCTGAACAGAACAATCTGTAAAGTAATTATGGTCTGGTCATGCAGTTCGCTGGCCCATATCTACAGTTACAATCACCAGCAAGAGCATCTTTGGAATTCCTGCTGTATGAGAGGGCCAGGACCATGTCCAGAGCACAGGCTGACAGAAGATGACGGCAGCACTTGGCCATTAAAGGCTTAAACTGGTGCCCGAAACCTGCTTTGACAGTAGCAGCACACAGCAGAAGTGCAGTGCTGAGTATATTGAGTTCTGGTTCTGGCTGCTTCATACATTCTGCTTTATTTCTACAGCTTTGCACCACCCTCATGCCACCTACTTGATGAAGGTTACTTCTCCTTATTTAAACATGTAAGAGAGATATTCTATGTGCAAACACACACACTCAGAAGAAGGAAACAGCAAGCTGTAGGGACATTGTTAACAGTAATTCTTGAAATTAAACAGAGTTTCTATAAAACAGGTTCCAGTCTTTTTCCCTTCTTTGAAGGGAGCAGGGAGACTGAAGCTCTGCTTTCCGCAAATTGTTCAAATACCTGAATGTTCGTGCACACACAGAAAAATTCCCAGAACACAGAGATTCTCCAGCATTACACAGGAACACAGAACCAAGGAGAAGACTCCTGGGACATCCAGTTTTCTCCCTTTTGCCTGGAGACAACTGCATCCTACATGTTAGTGGTGTCTCTGTAACACTACAGAGAAACAAGTTGAACATCATTTTGAAATGAGCTGAGCTGATTTGTTCCCTGGTCTCACTGAAAGACTATCCCAGGCCCACTTTGGCCTGTCTCAACTGCCCTTGACTGTCCCAGCTGCCTTTGCTGTCGGGAACTCCTTCCAGTTTTCAGCCTGAATTTTGCACCTATGCCCATTTGCTCACATGCCAGCATTGCACTGCCTTTTGACTCAAATATTTTCTAACTCCAGAATGTTTACCTCCAAGGTACTTATAGTCAGCAATAGTATCCAAAGGCAGGCATCATATTTGCCCTTTGATAGACTAAACACATTCTTTTTGTCTTCTCTTGTGAGATAGTCCACATAGCGTCAGAACACACAGTTAAGGTCATTTAAATAGCCTTGGGTCAGATCGTCTGTAGGGTAGACTGGGGTAGCTCCAGCTCTGGGTTTACACTGCAGGTTTTTGAACCTGCACAGAGCAGCCACCATCTGCAATACAACTTGGAGATGTGGCTGGAGAACAAGCTGACCTGGCTCTCCCTCTAGCCAGGCCAACCCACCACTGCCAGCAGCCTTGCTAATGAAGGCCTTTGTGCAATTAAAATACAAAGCAGCAGTACTGAAGTCCTGAGGGTGAGAAAATTGTTGGGGTTTTCACCACCCTGTGAAACGTATTTGGGAGCAGAACACTGCAACGAGGCCTCCAGCATCCCATGAACCCTGAGTTGCGCCACGAGGAGAAAAGGGACCATGCTGTTGCTTTTCAGTTTCCCAAATACAAAGGTGGCAGTTTCTGTAGTGACCCAGCATCTCCAAATGTTAGTGGTACTAAGCCTGGTTATTTTTGCTTTATGCAGGGAAGTGCAGTGTGTAAGCATATGCATATTTAAATTGAACTTCTAGGCTTATGAGAAAACTATGCTAATCTCCGTTTCCCAGTAACTGATAGATACTTTTAAACTCTCCTGGAATTGTGAATTTTGGTAGGGATTAACTGCCGTTGTGAGACATGGGAATGGAGCTTATGAAATTGATGTTTGTCAGGAGGAAGTACAAGGGTGAAATACACATTTCCTTTTTCTAAAGCTTGATTGATGGCAGCTGTTTGGAAGACAGGTGAAATGAAACAGGATGCTTTGCAATTTGCAGTTTTCCAACCAGAATCTGGCAATCTTGAAGATGAGCTTTCTGGTTATAGCAGTTGTCAACAGAAAATAAGCATATAAAAAATAATTTATTGCAGATTACTATAAATTACTCCAGACCAGAACTCTTTCTACTGAATGGACAAATTACACACTCCCACAGATAGTGGCAGGAAAATGCCAGAAGGTCTTGAAATCACAAGATGACTTTTGTGGGTGATGTTACATCCAGAGCTGTCAGAGCCACAGGTTTCCGTGAGCAACAAAGCAGGCCAAAGCCTAGCTGAAATCCTCTCAGAGGCTGAAGCTTTTGTGATCTTCACTATCTCCATCTCTGCCGGCAGCTACTACAGCTACAGCAGGAGGCATCAGGCTGTCGTACACAGCCGTGGAGCTGGCTGAGTAACTGCAGTGGTGCTTGGAGTATGTTAGCTCCTGCTCAGCTGCTTCAGAGATCTGCTTCCCCCGATTCTCACAGATTTCTGTAAAGCCCTTGGGGATACTCTTCTGTTATTAGATGTTTCTGAAAGGAGAGGGACAGATTATGGGCATCAGCTCATGTCTGTGGTTTTCCTTACTCTTTCATTGTGAAAGAGAAGTCCAGGTCTAGCTTCTATTCATGTTACTGCCAGTTAACATTATACCACTTTGTTTCATGTAACCCCTTGGTTTAGCTACAATGAATATTTTGCTGGGCAATACAACAATGACTTACTGGTACTGTCTAATTGTTCTGTAGTGTCTGCTGCCATGGGAAGGTAAAAAAAGCACACAGGCTTTGTATACTCAGATTTAACATGAACTATACTCAAAGATAATTCTTTTACTTATATCAAATATGCAGTGGTTACCCAGTTTGGGTTTTATTTTCAGAGGTATCACTTAAGAATAGTATGCCCTCATTAAACAGGAATTGCTTAATTCTCATCCCTTGACTACAGAAAATTTGACAAGTCAGTTTTGGATCAAAAGCTGAGATGAGTGCTGAGAAATACTAGTGTGGGAAGGATTATATTTATACTTTCTCTGCTGTAAGTCGTCATCAATGGTGCTGTTCAATGTTCATCTGTGTTTTAAGAAGGTATGAATCACTTCAGTGATTCCAGTTAACGTGAAGGTGGGGAGGAAGATTAGAAAGGAGGAATTTAATGTCCTTCAACCCTGCAAAATGTTGGGGAGCTTACTCAGCTCTCTTCTTCAGTAGCCTGTTTTTCTACTAAGGGAGAATTTCCTTACAGACAAGGAAGCGGGAGACTTATTTCAATGTCAAATGCTGAAGCAAAAGACAAAACATTTGCCACTGTGCAAGTAATTTGCCACTGTACAAAGACCAGGAGAAGAATGAGCAAAGGGACCATTTCAAATTAAACAATACAATAATCTCCTTCTTTGTAAAGAGGAATTGAATGCTATCATATGGAAGCTGTTCTCAAAATAATACTTCATTTTATCAGTAGGGATTAATTTCAGTTTTTAAAATGCTAGGTATGCACCCGTATCCCTCATCCACATGTGCAGTTGTCACAGCTGTGGGAGCACATTGGACATGCAGATAACAAGGAACTGAAAATTTATGTTGATTGCAACTCCAGCTGTGAGCGCAACATTTTGTATTGGTTCCATGCTAGTTGTGCTCATCTGGGCACAACTGTGAAAGGCCTTCAGTGTAGCAAAGCTTTTAGGATGGTGCTTATTCAAGGAAACTCTTAAGTCTAAATCTTTGTCAGCAGCATGATGTGGAGATTCTTTGATTACACAAATGTTTCCCATCGTGACATGCACAGGGTGAGTTGTGTTATCACTGCAGTTAAGCAGCTGGGATGTGCAGCTTCCTTAGCAAATTTGGGAATTTCTTCTCCAGCACAATCTTCTTGTTCCCACCACATTTGGAGAAGGCAATTTACAGAAGTAAATAGCAGCATTTCCATTGCTGTTCAAGGTAAGGAGCAGCTGACACCAAGCTAAGCATATGGCTGAAAGCCACACACAGAGGAAACAAATCTGAGAAAAAGAAACACGAGCTTTGTTACCCAGATTGGTTACAGGTCTGTATTATTAGTGTTATATTAAATACTGTACTAAAATTAAAACAGTATTTTACAGATTTTGTTTTTTGTTTTGATACTAATTGCAAAGCCAGATCTTATAATTGCCAGTAGACTCAGCAATGCCTATACACTAATCCTCTTACTGTGTCTTTGGCTCTTCCATTTTAAGCTACATGTTTTGTTTGTTCTTGGGGTTCTTTTTAAGAAAAAGATCTTCATAGCCTGTAGATATTAATGCACTAGAAGATTCTCTCCCAGAACTTTGTAAATCCATCCTTGTAATTATTTCTTTTTATCTTTCATGCTCATATGGCGTCTTAAGCCTTTTCTGTTTTAGAACCCTGCAGCTCCTCAAGGAACAGTATTCATCACCACTGATAGAGATGGATTAATGTGGATTCATTAAGCTGCAACCAACGCAGTGACTTGAATGCAATGGTTTTACATAATATATAGTCCTAACCAGCATGACTGGTGTATTTGAAGTGACCCAAGAGATTCAGACATTTTTGGTACCAGCTTTTCATGAGGTTAGTCATCTCCTATTAATTCCCTTGTAAATATCTTAGAGGGTACTGCCTGTTGTTAAAAGGCTGTACATAAAGGCCTTTCATGCAAGACTGAGGATATGTTTCCACCATACAGCAGGTTTGGCAACAAAGTTGGCTTAGAAAGTTCATGCTCTAACTCATCTGCATTTGCCTCTTCTGCAGGGTGTGTTGCCCACTCCAGCGTGCCAGTGTAACTGGAGCTGCACTGTCAGCTGGGTAATGGAAATGCTCTGTATTCAAATGAATTATGCCTTAAGAATCTTGGGTATTGCTTTAATGCTGTAAGAATCTATCACATGAATACATGTTATTTATTTGTGAATGGCATAAGCACTGAAGTGAGAATAGCATAGTGGAAACAAAACTCTAAAGATACGTGTTACTGATGATTTATCCTAATACAATGGCTGCATCTACAGTCATTTACTAGAAGTATAAACAAAGATGTATGTTATGCCCTTTAAAGGAGCCTTTTTAACTTTATTTCTTTAACACCAAAGGTGTATCTATCTTGTTAAGAGTAAACATAGAAATCCTCCAAGGGGAATAATAAAGTAAAGCCTTATACAACTAAAGTATTGGCAGGATCAACCTTGACATTAATACTAAAATAGCTCACTGTCACATCTGCAGCTCCCCAAGCAGCCCTCTCAAGAGGCTTTCAGGAAATCACTGGGGAACATACCTGAGCTGTCTTTGATGAAAAGGACCAGAAGGAGTTAAATCTAGGAGAGCAGACTTTTTTTTTTTTTTCATTAGCTACTGCAGTGACAAGATGCCCATTGACTCCTAGGTGGGTGGCTGTGCAGAACTGCCCTCCCATGCCATGCCAGGGGCACTTGAGCATGCCTAACAAAGATGCCTCCACTTAAAATCTCCACCCCTCCCTTGCTCACTTGCTTGGCCATTTCAGCTATGACTGTGGAGTCATAGGGCTGTGCCATGCTGTTGCATGAGATTAAGAGAGCTGTAGTAACACACTAGAATGATAGGAATGAGCCCACTATTCATGGGTGAGGCTAAACAAAACTTCCAGGAAAATGAATCCACAATTTCACCAACAGATCATATGGCTCCCCACACAGTAACCCAGGTCCCTGGAAGGGCCTGCTCCACCCCCTCAGTGCAGAAACTGGCCTGGGACCAGCACGCTGTCTAGGATACTCAGTGCCTGTGACCCACTTATTCCACAGATCAAGATATGCCTTGTGTTTAAAGTATTCATCAGCCTCTTGATAAGACAGGTGATGAACAAGTGAAAACCCATCAGTGGCCCCTACGCATCTGGGAAGTGCCATGCTTTAAGTCAGATAAATTTTTAAGAACATTGCTTCTGCCAACAGATACCAGCAAGCTGTTTCATAATAGTATCATAAACTTCAACTTCCAGCTACCTGACACATTTCCTTGCCACACCAAAGAGGTCACTGCTGCACCAGTAGTGGGTCTGGGATTCAATGCTGCTGGGAACTGAAGCTTTCAAGCATGTGTTTTCTGACAGAGGTGTCGCCTGGAGCATATGGTGAGGGCATCCATTGTGGAGTTGAAGCGGTGAAGAGAGAGAGCTGTCTTGGTACCTGTGACCATGAGCAACCAGGCTTTGTACACAGAACAACAACAGTGGTGTTCTCTCCATGCAGTTGGTCTATAGTATAGCAAATAAGACCTTACCACACAGCATTTGCAGGCAGGCTGCTGGTAGGGCTCATCTGTCATGGCTTAGCACAGCTGGGCTGCATGCATTCCTGTGTGATAGCCAGATATTTTGCATCCTACCATTCTTGGCTGCCCTTTTATATTCTCTCCATATCAGATACCGTGGTATACAGGAACCTGCAGTGAATTCTTCAGTGACTGGCAGAAAATCATTTACCACATCATTCCCTCACATGGTGGCATTGCTTGTGAAGCGTGTCTGCTCATTCCCAGTGTGTGACTCTTTGTTTTCAGGTGCTATAGCCAGAGATCTGCTGCCTTGAGGGAGCATTTACCTTTGGGCATGCATGCTCTTCATCACTTACTCTGAGAACAAACGTTCTTCCAAATCAGACAGACCATGTAGCTCTCCAAAACCAGCAGCCAGGCTCAGGAGCTCCCAGAGGAGCTGTGCAGGGACATGCACAAAGCAGTGGCTAGAAGGGTTCTGCTGACTCCTCCTGTTGTCAACAGCATGGACCAGCTGTCAGAGGAAGCAGTCCTACTGCTCTGGATTCACCATGTAGTGACAGAGGCCAGGCAGGTACAAAGGCAGGCTGCTCCAGGACCAAAGTGTAGACCCAAAGGGATGGACTGAAGGAAGCCAAGGAATTCTGGAAGCATCTATATGAAACTTACAATGAACAAATCTCATTGCAGTGGGGAAGAATGGATAAATAAGGTGCATCATGGTGGATGACCTCCAGAGGAGGTCCAGAAGTCATCCTTCTCAGAGCAGGGCAAATGTCAAAGTGAGATCACATCGCCTCGTCATGCACAAAACCCAGGTGAGGCAAGACTTGACAGGCTGAACTTAGCTGGCTGAGTCATCCGGCAAGAAATTGTTTGTCAATGTGGTTGCTGTCGAACGAGTGTAATGACAGGTTCTCAAACACCTAACTGCTTTTTTCACGAGAGTTGAGGTATAGAAATGATTCGTAAATCATTTGTGAGACTTCCTACCCACATATTTTCAGGAATATAAGTGGATTAGACTACTGGTCCTTCTAGAGAGCATCCAGCTGCTAAATGGTTGTTAGCACACACGTCAAGGAAAGACGCAAGGAGCATGATGGTAGATGGCATGGGACAACCAGCCTCAGAAACCTTTTCCCAACACTACAGTGGTTGGATGATGGCTTCTACCCAGAAGTACGATAGTGTAAAACCCTTCCAAATCTTGCTTACTTTTATGAATGTATTACCAGCCTTCTTTTCACTCCTGCTAAGATTTTGGTTGTGATGATACTAGGAAGGAAGGAATTCGGCCGAGTAACTGCATGTTGTGCAAAAGGTCTATTTCTTTTTCCCCAGTTTTACACTTAATTGACTATTCCCTTGTGTTCATACTTGGAAGGGAAAGTACCAGCATGAATTTATGAGCAAATTTGCTGGACTCAGGCTGGGATTGGCTTCCCAATGCTTCAAAACAGGGGAAATCACAACATAGTAAACTAAGCAAATTAAGGGCTCTGTTTCATCAAACTCAGTAGTAATTTGCAGCAAAAGGAAAATCTTGAACAATTACTTTGGAAAGTCAGTCCCTATAACACACTAAAGATTTTCTCCTATCCCTTTCTCTCCCCTGCCGCTTATCTTCCTTCCAGCAATGATTCGGTAAAATTTCTTGCTGTAAGGCAAAAATCAAGCAAGCACCATAACCCTTTGTTCCAGCTGTAAAACAGACTCAAGAACATCCCTTATTAAAGGGCCTAATTAAGCACGTAATCCCTTTTTCCTCCTTCTAAAAGTTATTGGAAAGCAACCCAAACAATGTCTTTAATAAAAGTTTTGCTGAGAAAGCTCCTTCTTTGGCAGGGGAAGGGTAATTGTGATAGCAAGCTGCTTCTGTTCCCAAATGCCCTGATGTGCTGGGGTCATATCACATGTTTACACTCTGCTTTAACAAGGAATAACAAGGACTGAAGTGCTTATTTTTGGTGTCACTACAGCTGAGAAGATGTTATAGGCTCAATTATCCCAGTACTTCAACTGTAACACTACATTATTCTCTAAGTTCCATTTCTTTGGCTGAAACCATTTTGTTGGAAGACACTGCTTTCTGTAAGCTGGTGTTTCTGCTCCCCCATGTAGTAGAGCCTTGCAGCTGCCTTCAGTAAGCAAATTTGTCTTTTTGGATTGCTTCCGCACCATAGCTACAAATCACTTTGAATGCACAGCTGAACAAAGTGCATTTTATAACATGGAGCATCTGCCCATTATAAGAATATCCAGTGTCTTAATGCAAGATCATTACTCACCAAGAGTAAATTGATATATTATCAAGTTGTGCATATTCTGGTCAGTTTTCAAGTAAACCACGCTCAGGTAACACAGGAATATTCTAGGTTCAGCATCCTTACAGTATAGGTGAGTATCTCCATATATAACAGCGTTGTGGAACAGAAAGGCACATCCTGCAGCTCCTGAATCACAGCTTTGAAATGCAGCACGATGATTATTTCATTTTGAGGCCAACGGTGATGAGCTCTGTCAGCATGGTGAGTAATTATAAGAAATAGGGATCACTTGACTCATTTTTAATTCCTGCCTCCACCAAGTCTTTAAACATACCGTTTTCATCGTCTAAAGCATACTCCGTTCATTTACTGCATCACCTCGTGCTGGGGTTATGTGTGAAAAGGAACTCTGCATTTTAATTTCTTTTTTTCTCTCTCTTTGTACCAACATGAGCATTTTCAATGCTTTCCAAAGAGAATACGTCATTTAGAATGTGTAAATGAAGTTGAAAATAACTGAAAATAATGAGTCAAGGCAATAAAGCTGGCAGTGGAATTGGCCGAATGGCAGCTCAAACAAGGTAAATCAGATACTTGGAAAAAAGCTGAATCATTTTCTTTTAAAGTCCAGCTGAACACGCAAATCCTTATCTCTGTTGCCTAACATCTGCCTCATCGTTATGAACACACATACACTGTGCTTGGTAAAAAGGCAGAATCTTTCATTGCACTGTACAGCAAGATGAGGCAGCTTTGCACTGTTCTGATAGTTCAGTAGAATTGTAACAAGAGGGGACTTGTTAAAATTTTATTGTTTCAGTAGCAATGCTCCCCAGAGAAAATACTAATAAATTTCCTACACTGTGACTGTCTAAACAGATTATCCAACAATTACATATTAATTATTAATCACCCAGTGATTCAGAAGCCACCTTGTGGCTCTCTAGTGCAGGAACTCGACTGCTTTTGCAACCTAATAATATGATTTTTCCAGTTGTGGTGTTGCAATGCTCAACCAGGCTAATGGCAGAGGGAGCAACAGGGATGCCCAAGGTTATACCTCACCTTGCTTGGAGGAGGTTACGAAAAAGTAACCTAAACAAATTCAGCAGGTAAAATAAAGCAAACGAGTTGAATGATAGACTATAACTAGACCTAGTGGAATAGGAGTGTGTTTTAAATGGTCTCTATAGGGATTAATGGAAATACCTGGAAACCAACAAGTAGGAGAAAAGATGTTTTTCTCATGCATTCCCTAAGAACACCTTTCCTGACTGGCAAGCCTGAGAGCCCTGATTTGCATTATCTCTGCACATTCTTGGCTGTTTACTGTGCAGGAAAACAAGATTGATTTTTCATTCTTAAGCACATTTATAATGCCTGTGCAAATGAATGTAGGGCATATCCTGGCTAGATCAATATTTATGCAGCCTACTTTAGAAAAAGCAAGGGAGTTGCTTCACAGCAGCAGGGGATCTCATAATTTCTTTTCCTATGGTTTCCTCCTTTCCTTGTTTTCACTGAAATCTGTTTGCATAATGCTCCCTGCTCGCTGCCAGTTACAGGGAGTTCTAATGAAGGGGGCCCCCCTCGACTGTCTGAAGGGATTCTCTGCTGCCAGATTGCCCATGATCCAAGAGCTGCCGGGGTGGAGGAAGGTGTGTGTGAGCTCAGGAAGCTGTAGGCCAGGCCCGGTGTGGCAGGATGGCCTGAGAAGGACGTGCTTATAATGAGCTGTGCAAAGGAAGAGGTGATTTATGCCACACTCTGTGGTGAGGGGAGCTCTCCTCTTCAGCCTGTGGTGAAGCTGGTGGCTTCCTCCCCCTTCCTCCAGCCCCATCTAGCCACTTGTCTTTGACCTGTGGCTCTGCACAGTTCATTCCACTTGCAAAAGAGCAACAATTAATTATCCTAATTAAATCCAACTGCAGAATATTGAATACCGTGGTTTACTTCATACTTTATAAAGTTTCACCTCTTTCATGCATGCTTCCCCCATACTGCTTGTCACAGCTAATCTCATTCATTTTGAAACAGAGGGGAAGAGTGAACAGTACATATAATAAATCAAAAAGCAGTAGCAAAAGATTAAAACCAGCCACCCTCCCAGCAGTATGCCAGGATCTGTGTTTAAAAGGATCCTCCTAAATAGCTGTTCTCTCTCAGCTGAGCTTTCCTTTTCTTGATGCTTAGGAGGAGGTGCCTTCTCCAACCCCGCAGACAGAAGGTGGCCTCTGTGAATAACCTTTATTCTTTCTTCTGCCCTATTTACCAGAAATATCTTTTTTTACCCTGACTTGAATAAACTCATGGGCCTTCAGATGCCCCTGCTGGTGCAGGCTCCCGCACAGCAGTGCATGTCTTTAGAAATAAATTGGGAGCCGAAGATCAGTAGCTGTACAGTATCAGTGTCCTTTGATTCACCACGTCAATTTAATTCTCCATCTAATAAAATACACTTTACACATATAAAGTATTCCCTGCAAGCATTATTCTTTTTCTAAAGGGGCTCCACCGTGATTCAAACTCAAGGCTATTAAGTCATCTTGATTTCCATGGCTGTACCATTGAAATGCAGCATTAGCAAATGCAGGATATTGAGTGCCTCTTGTAAATAGTTCATTTTTTCTGAGTAACTAACCAGGCAATAAGAACCCTGTCACTTCTATGTTGACAAAGTATCTTAGTCACCGAGTAACTATAGAGATGTTTCCCTTATGCTTGACGTAATTATCAAAATGCCTTTCGTTAGCTGGTGAAAATGTGAAGGCTCAAAGCGTAATTCCTGGGACACAGTTTGCTGTTTGTTGTAGCATACAAATCAGAGCAGCACAGACCAGCTATGCACACACGGCTAACAAGATTTCCAATTTATTTCTTCTTGCCAACAGCAAACTGGAGCTTCTGAGGCCACCCCTCCAAATCAGGTGTCAAACTGGGTCTGCCTACGGCATGAGGACAGGAGAAGAGGCAATCACAGACACATCCAGCAGCCACAGCTACAGTCACAAACTACTTTGTTTCTGTTAAAGCTCCAGCTCCTGGTAAGGACTTAAACTCCATGTTTTTCTTGTTCAGAAAGGAGGATGCATTTGAAAGGGTATACAAGGCTTGCTTTAAGAGCTCCAAACCCTAACTGATAACAGTTTTGCTACCTCCCACAAGCCGTAGGCA